CCACCCCCGCACCCGCCAGAGCCCCCCTCCGGGGAGGAGGGGTGGTGGACGTGGGAGGGCAGGTGGAGGGGTTGGGAGGAACGGGGGGTTGGAAAGATCCGCCAGACCGCCGGAACCGCCAGACATGCCACTGGGTTGAATCATCAGGGCGGACTGCGCGGACTCCACCCGTTTACCTCTGGTTTCACGCCCTCTTGAACTCTCTCTTCAAAGTTCCTTTCAACTTTCCCTTACAGTTCTTGTTGACTATCGGTCTCGTGCCGGTATTTAGCCTTAGATGGAGTTTACCACCCGCTTTGGGCTGCATTCCCAAGCAACATGACTCCAGGAAGACCCGGGCCCGGCGCGCCAGGGGCCGCTGCCGGCCTCACACCGTCCAAGGGCTGGGCCTCAATCAGAAGGACTTGGGCCCCACACGAGTGGCGCCGGGGACTGGGTCTTCCATACGCCACATTTCCCGCACCCCACCGTGGGGCGGGGATTCAGTGCTGGGCTCTTCCCTGTTCACTCGCCCTTACTGAGGGAATCCTGGTTAGTTTCTTTTCCTCCGCTGACTAATATGCTTAAACTCAGCAGGTTGCCACGTCTGATCTGAGGTCGCCTCTCAGATGCGGAGAGGAGGGGAAGGGCAGTGGGTGGGGGGATGGCAGAGGAGGCACGAACGGACCTACACGCCCTGCAGGTGGGGGGTGGGCCGCGGCCTCCCGGCCCCCACCCCCTTCCACCACCCGACCACAACCACTCACGGGGAAAGCCGGCGAGAAGCGGGGGTCGGGGAGAGAGAGCCACGGGCGCTGCCGACCGCCGACACCTGCCCTCCCCCCCAACCTCCTCTCCCCCAATCCTACGAACGGCCCGCAGCTGCCGCAGCTGCTGCCCCGCCACCCGACACATCCCCCTGCTCCGGACGGGCGGAGAAGGCACGCGAGGCAGAGCGCAGGGCCGGAAGGAGAGGAGGGACGGAGTGAAGCAGGGAGAGGGAGGAGCCAAGACCACTGGACGGAGCACGAGCCGGTGGCAGAGGCTGGGCCAAGGGGGAGCGGGAAGCGGCAGGGTCGCACCACCCGCAAACAAGGCGCGTCCAACCCCGCCCGCCTCCAATGCCACGGGGCTCGGGGCACCGGCAGCGCCGCGGGCTGCGGTCCCGGGAGCCCCGCACATCGGCCGACGACGCCACAGCATCCCACGGGTCGTCGCCGGGGCACACCCCAGGAGGCAACGACCCCGCGGGTGACTGCGACTCGGCCTCGGCACGAGCCAGCCCGACGGGGGCGGGGCGGGGAAGATTGGGTCCCCCCCTTCACCCCGGCGGGCAGGGCCACTGAGGGAGGAGGGGCC